AGAGAGAGAGAGAGAATAGATGTTTGAGGAAGGAGATGGGGATTTAAGAGCTTAGGGCACGATGAAGGATGAGAGAATGTGATGGCGGATGAGGAAGATGAGCAGAGGTTTGCAGAGAAATTTTAGAGAGAGAAAGAGAGATTAGAGAGAGAGAGGGAAATGGGAAGGAAAATGACGAGAATTATAGAGAGAGAAATTAGAGAGAGAGGAAAGAGGATGGAGGAAGGAAGGTGCGAAGGTCTCCCGCTTCATGTCTTTATTATCAACGGTTGTCTAAAGGAACCGTGTTTTATTTGTCAACTTATATTTCTCTCTCTACATCTTGTTCTCTCTCTAAAACGGCCGTAGGAAATTGCGTGCTGCTTTCCGTCGTTTGTGCCTCCTCTGTTTTCTCGCCGTGTCAGTGTTTAAAACCAGGGTCCTATCAGTAATTTGGATCCAGTTCCAACCCTATCAGTAATTTGGATCGATTATCTTCCTACCATTCCGAGTTTGACCAAGTGTGTCATTTGCCGTGTGATCTTATCCCAGGTAGTATTTTATTTTTAACTTTTTAATATAAATTTTATAAATATAAAAGAATAATGATTCCACACACCTATGTATTTAAGACATCAAAGATCATCATTAAATTTTACACATGTTTAAAAAAGTTATCATATGTGTGAGAGATTTGATTTTTCTAGATATATGAGTCAGATTTAATAGTAATTCTTTGAAGCCCTGCCACATGGATAAAAAAAGGTCTCATAGTGCCATTACTCAATATAAAATTAAGTAAGTATAATTTTCTCATTTGAGTGCACCTATAAAAAATATATTAAAATTAATTTTATTATAAAATATAATAACCAAAATACCCTTTCAAATTTTTAGAAGCCTGTTGGTTATTTATTTTATTATAAATACTTTTTTTATATTTTTTATAAGTATGAGCTTAATAGAGCATTGGATGTCCAAAATATCGTGTCAAAATATCTTATATAAAAAAAGAGTAATGATCCAATGAGACCCTCCCACACCCATGTGTGTAAGACCCCAAATGATCACAATTAAATTTGATCTCTAGAAAAGTCAAGTCCCACACCCATGCGATAACTTTTTAGAGATCTATGCCAAATTTAATTGTGATCTTTTGGAATCCTACACACATAGGTGTGGGAGGGTCTCATAGGATCATTACTAAGAAAAAATTTAAAAATAAAATAGTGTAGAGAGGTGACATTGTGATCTTAGCCTTCCATTTAGAATGGACAATTGGATAAGGGGAACTATATAAGTTTTATGTTATTAGGAATGCTTCCCTAAAGATGATTTAGAAATGGGAAAAGTTTATGCAGAGCCGAGGCTCTAGACAATCAAATTGGAGCCTACTATAAAAATTTCACTAGAAGAGGTTGTTTTGATGCTCAAATTGATCATCTCGACATCAAGATGTATGGATATGAGAAAAAATGGATTTTAAGTTTTAGAAATAGTATATTTTGTAACGCATTTTTTGACAGTCAATTTTCAAGATTTTCAAGTTTTCATAGATATGTATCTATACTATTTTTTAAGCTTTAAACTTTATAAATATAGATGAAAATATATTTTAAAACTATCACAAAGATTTCCAGTATTGAAATCATATTTCCCAACACTACTGAAGGTAGGCTTTAATTTGATTGTTAAGAGCCTAGGCCCTATACAAACCTCACCATAGAAAAAAACGTTACGTGAGGGTGATTTTAAAATAGGAAAGTTTATATAGAGCTTAGGTTCTAAACAAGCAAATTAGAACCTACCTCAAAACTTCCACTAGAAGAGGTTGTTTTGATGCCCAAATATCATCAAATTGATCATCTCCACATCAAGATGTGTGGACATAAAAAAAAAATGGATTTCAAGTTTCATAAATAATGTTTCTTATAACGTATTTTTGGACCGTCAATTTTCAATATTTTTAAATTTTCGTAGATCTTCTCAATCTACACTATTTTTTAAGCTTTAAATTTTACAACTAAAGATGAAAATTTAAGGCTATCACAAAACTTTCTAACATTAAAACCATATTTCTTGATACTATTTAAAGGTGGGCTCTAATTTGATCGTTTAGAGCCTCGGCTCTATACACTGCACCCTTTAAAAGTATGGGTATGTTTGGTATCTGCAAAAAATGTCTTCGTAAAAGTATTTTTACATGAAAAAGCTTGTTCACATGTTTAGGAGTTTCTTTAGTACCGTGGTCCCAACCATTGTAGGAAATATCGGGAGGTTTAAAGTCTAACCACCCGGTTAGATTGGAACTGGCCACTGACCGGTTCCGGTTTTGGTCGATTTTGGTGAATGGGCTAGGTATTTTTTAAAAAAAAAATTAAAAATATAAAATCTCAAAAAAGAAAAAAAAGAAAAGGATTTTGTTTGTAATGCCATTTTTTAATGTTTTTCATCATTTTGGCAAAGATTGAAAATTGTTTTGGCTATTAATACGTATTTTTATATTTTCCCAATTTTTTGGAAAATTTCAAAAATACTTTTGGGCACATATCGATTATTTAAAATCTATTTTTTTCTATTAATTTTTAACTTCATTTGGATGTATTTTGTTTAATCAAGATTTAAATATATCATACATATTTTATTATACTTTTTAATTTTTTAACACTTTTTTGACCGCCCGGGACTTGCCCAGTTTGACCGATTGAACTGGCAGGTTTACCAATTATGCCGGTTGAACCTATTTCGGCCCCTTATACAGTTAACCGTTCTAATTCGATTTTTCCTACACTAGTCCCAACATTTCATACCAAATGACAGTCATTTGGTGTGATAAAACTCCCACACTTAGATTTATGGTTTGCGTGAAATATTTTCTAGAAAACATTTTCACATGAAAACATTCTTTCATAAGGTCAAGTGTATGAATATTTTCATACCAATTGGTCTTAGTGCATCCTTGCACACCAATTGATAACTAATTGATGTAAAAATATTCACATAGTTGACCGCATGAGAGAATTCTTTTTATGTAAAGATATTTTCTAGAAAATGTTTTCATGAGAACCATGCCATTAATCACATAAGGGAGTTTTTACAATAGGGGAAGTATTTTTATGCGTACCAAACATTACCATCATCATCGTAATCTTTTCATAATTAATTGGGGTTGGCTACTTGAATTCTGGTCCACCATTATGCTTTATTAAAGGCTATACCCTTAGTAAGACCATAAGTCGTCATATATTTTTAAACTACTTCAAACCACTTCCTTTTGGGCTTACCCCTTGCCCTTTTCAGTCCCTCCACTTGAACTAACTCGCACCTTCTATTCACGTGCACCAAACGTTTAAAAATAATAAAAATAAGAATTTAAGGGGTCAGAAGAAAACACACTAAACGAGCTTAAAAAGAATGGAAAAATATAAAAGAGAAGGAGCAAGCTCGAGGGGTTGTTGCAACAGTTTAGGAAAAACTTGGACGGGATCCATACCATCCCAGAACTGATTTAATCCCGATCTACTCCCATCTAGATTAGTGACCAAGGCCGAAAATCTCCAAGTTTTAAAACATTGGTTTATGGTAAGCTCAGAACTTGAAAGAGTTCGTGGTTTATCTTTGATAGGCTTGTACATAAATATATATAACAAGAAAAAAGTTCATATAAGGTTGCAAATTTGCTTGTAGAAGTAAAATTATAGTAATCTACACCTTTTATTTTATTTTGATCAGTTTCGCAAAATCGAATTGGAACAGTTAACCGGACATGGGCCCAGAAACGGTTCAACCAGCCTAACTGGTAAATGGCCGATTCAATCGTTCTAACGGGACAAGTCTCGAGCAGTCAAAAAAGTGTTACAAAAATAAAAAAAATATAAAAATAAATCTAATAAAATATGAAAAATATACTTTAAAAAAAACTATCAAACAAAGTACATCCAAATGAAGTTGAAAATCTGTGAAAAAATGAATTTTAAAGAATTGATTATACCTAGGGGTATTTTTTAAAAAGTTTCTAAAAAAAAAGATTGGAAAAAATATAAAA